TGGGTCAAGTATTATTAACTTTCTCCCCCCCAAAAAAAATAATTTTAAAGATATAAACATTCTTTGATTTCTAGTCAAGAGAGAAAGATTTTAAATAGGAGTTATAAAGTCAAATGTTTACAACAAAATATAAGAAAATATTCCTGCTGCCTTCTGACCCCAAAACACCACAGACTGCACTATTCTCATTTGAAGGCATCATTTAAACCACTGAATTTATAAAGATCAAGATCATCCTGAAAAATATCACCTGTTGTTGATCTTGTTTTCAGTTAAATTTATGCAAAGCAGAGTTAATATGGAAACAAAATCAACCACTCATGAGAAGTAAACCCACAACAAGAAAAGAAAAAATGCTGAGAAACCAAACATTACCAGCAAAGTCAACATCCTGGATTCTACTGACGTGGAATTAATCCAAATTTTCACAAAAGCTGAACAGAACATTTGTGTTCTCTTGCTCATCTCCCTTATAGCAAATTAGAAGGAAGTGATTTGTAGAAGAAACCAACATTTACAGGAAATTTCCCCATTCATTTTAATTTACAGCTTCAGATAATTTTCATTATTAATTCTCTGGGTCTATGTACCAAATAAACTGAGCACTTTTATTCATTAAAGTCCTTTCATACACAAAAGGTTTTATTAACAAAGTGAAAAAAATATTTGCAGAACAGGATAAATTATTTGGAAATTCTGTATTTGAAGAATTCTTGTGGTATAAGAGTTGCAATGTTAACTAAAAGAATGGAACTTAAAAAAAAAAAAAAAGAATGGAACTTCTCCAGCAATTTGAATCTGCCAGTAGCTCCTCGGACAAAAGACTGAAGACTGACAATCTCCTCTCATGCAATTTACAGTCTCCAAAAACCCAGGGGAGGGTCAGCTATGGGTTGGGTCAGACTCAGCGTCAATGAAAGAGAAAGATATTTTATTTTAAATATTTCACATTTATTTACTTCTTAGAACAAGGTTGGTGGTGGAGATGGTAGGGCTGTTGGTGTTGAATACCTTTGAGTCAGAACCTCGACCCTCCAGCAGATTTTCAGAGGGAGTAAATCGCATGGGAGGCAATGGCCCATCCTTCCCTCACAGAGCAGCTAGTAGATTTGAATCGTGTGCATTTGTGACTGCAGTGCAGCTTTTTGCCAACAGGCCACCAGAGTTCCCTTATTTTAAATATACTGATAAAGATTTTAAGACTATATAAAAAGAACTTCTATAACGCAATCACAAAAAAACAAATAATCAAAAGACGGGCAAAAAATTTGTATAAACACTTTACAAAAGAAGATATACAAATGGCCAAGAAACACATGAAATGGTGGAAAAGTTCCTTAATAATTTAGAAAATGAATACCAGAATCACAGTGAGAAACTACTTCACCCTCACAAGGACAGCAATTACTAGACAATTAAAAATAAGTGTTGGCAGGGATGTGGAAAACTGGAACTTTCATTTACTGCATCTAATATAGTTGTTTAAAGAAAGTAATTAAGGCTGCTCTTCAAAAAGCTGGATAAAAAATTATATCTAGTGCAACCACTATGGAAGGCAGTATGGTGCTTTCTCAAAAAGTTGCAAAGAGAGATACCATTTGACCCAGCAATTCCACTACTGGGAATATACCCCAAAGAGACCATAAACGATATCCAAGCAGATATATGCACACCCATGTTTATCACGGCTTTGTTCCCAATAGCAAGGAGTTGGAAACAACCTAAGTGCCCATCAACAAACGAATGGATAGAGAAGCTGTGGTACAGTCACACAATGGAATACTACTCTGCATTGAAAACCAAGGAACTCATGCAATATTATTCAAAATGGGTGAATCTGGAGGACATTATGCTGAGTGAAGTATCTCAGTCACAAAAGGACAAATACTGCATGTGCCACTGCTGCAAAACAGGATTGACCTTGGGACTGGGGGGACACTGAGAAAGATGGGTTCAATAATGTATACTGCATTGAAACAGATGAGGGAGAAAACTGTTTAAAAGGGATATGTGATCAAGTGAAGGCTACATGGTGGAATGGACCTATGGGAGGGTTTGTACTAGGGGGGAGGGTTGAGAGGGGAGAAAAGTGCAACAATGAATGAATGGAAATTAAAAAAAAAAAATTATATCTAACCATTTCTATAACTTCATTATCCCCCCCATAATTTGAAATTAGATATTTAGACAGATACTAACTAGTACACTACTGTTCATTGTAGGATTACTTACAATAACCAAAAGGTAGAGACAATCCAAGTGGCCATCAACAGATGAGTGGATAAATAAACTGTAGTAAATCTATACAACTACTGAGCGATAAAGAGAAAGGAAATTACAGTGTACCTTATGACATAGATTAGACTTGAATTAATTATATGGAATGAAATAAGCAAGTAGCAAATGGATTAAGTATCGTATGATGCCATTTGGGGTAAGTCAACATAGAAACCAAAGCTTTAGTCATTAATAAGGAAGGTGAGAAGAAAAAATGGGATATTACTGTCTAGCAGATAAGGTACTGAACTTCTTTTAAAGGTAATGAAAAATTTGGAAACGGTCATCATACTGCAAAAAACCATGAATGAAATCAATGTCGATGAACAGGACATATAAAAATAAGGTCAATACTTTGCAGTAAAAA